AAATGACCCTCATTTTCTGTTTCCATATCGAGTAATCCCCCTTTCCATCGAATTGTGATAATTCGACGCTCAAACCCATTACGGATTCTGTAGAAAGGTGGCATGTACTCGTGGATATAACAGAAAGGGTTTAGAAAGATTTTTCAAGTGATCGATATAAAATAGAAACACGGAGTTAAGACAATATCCAGAAAATTGAAGCACGGTAATGAATCAATCCGATCAAGAAACCTCAATGTGATGTGTGTGCAGGTATGATTTAAGCTCAGGCAATACACATATATTTGATTCAAGTAAATATGCTTCCAAGATTACAAATCAATCACCGAAGTCCAATTACAGGAATTCACAGATAAGTAATCAATCAATCATCTATTAATCACGAAAGGACACCAAATCGAATTCAAAGTAAGGTTTGGAACAATCTTACCAATAACCGTTAAAAAACAGTAAATATACCCTCAAGCCCTGAATCGAGCAAGCCAGCCAAGCCACCAATCACCCAATCCAGTCAACAACATACAAAGTAAACAAACACAGAGGAATCAGTGTCGATTAAAAGAACAAGATGCCTTAAAGTAATATTTTCAGTTTAGACCTTGGAAGGTCCATACCATAATATCACTCGAAAGAAAAAACCCAAACATATTCAATGAAGAATACGACCAAGCCCTAGATCGAAGAGCTCTGATACCAGTTTTGTTAGGAATCTATAGAGTTCAAAACTCTGCTCGCAATACAAACTAAACAGATTCAAGGTATAAAGAAAACATAGAAACTAAAATTACTGAAACCGAATTCTGCTTCCCTACTATGGCCGAAAATTGTAGGCTCAAGAACAGCCCTTCAACGTTCGCAATCGCCATCCATAAAGAGAGAGTTCAACAGAGAATTCACGGGTTCAATTTCTGGTCAACGATCGAGAACGATCTCCCAAAACACAGAGTCTAACTACAGATTTAGAAGGAAAAACCACACCGAAACAAGCTAATATTCCAGGCCTGGATATATCCAAGATTAACCCCTAAATCCTAAGATTAACCCCTAAATCACTAGAAGAATCACTCATAAATTACCCAAGAGAAGGAGAAGACAGACTTTACGAAAGAGAAACCCAGAAGCAAGAGAAAAATGGAATAGTCTAGAATGATTAGATGTCAAGAGTCTCTCGAGGAGACCAAGAAACAAAATATCTTGTAAGACTCAATCTCAACCGTCAATCTCATCCAACGGTTACAAAGGATTCAAACTAACATAATCCAAGTAACCACTTAACTACCTGTAAGTGGGTGACACTTAAGCAGCATAAGTAAGAA